CTGCCTGTTGCTAGCGGTTCGGCTGCTTGTCTTGTAGCTAGCTGTTTTGGCTGAGGCGCCTTTTAGGTGAGTGCGCTCCGTGTTCGAGCAGCTCTGCCTTCGGTCGACAAACGGTCAGTTTTTGGTGAGACGCGGCTCATCTTCTCCTGGGGGACACCTGCAGATCCTCCAGGTGTCTCTGGGAGGTTTCAGGTCCCGCCCCTGCAGGTTTTCACCAAGTCTCTGCAGTTCAAACCAGATCAGGTTCATTTCTGCAGCACCAGAACTTGGAAAGTAAAAAAAAATAACCGACTGTGATGGAATATAATGATAACAACAAACATAAGCTGCAGGACGCTGGTGATGACCCGGGAACGAAGGTTCAGAAGTTGGCGGCCTGGTTTCAGGCACGGGTGCAGCTGGTGGACTCAGGGGGGTTAAAACCTTCAGTTTTAAGATCGGCCCAGTAGCCAACAGGAAGTTGGCGAGGAGAGAACGGAACCGCTTCGGAGCAAATGTGGGTTTTATCGTCGGAACAGCAGCCGAGTTTTGAACCGACGTCAGGAGCTGCTTTGATGATTTGATCTTAAATCTGAAGGACCGGATCGACTGTCGAAACGTTGTGTGGACAGAACGTCTGGCACCTCAGATACTTTTATAGACGTCCAAAGTGTGAAGGTTTGAAACCACAGAGGACACGTCTTCTAACGCTCTTCTGAATTATCAGATTAACGTTTGTCTGAGAGGAAAACAAACAAACAAACAAACAGGTTTGACGGAGAAGCTGCTGAGGCTGTTGGTGATTTGTCCACACCAGAGAGGAAGTGACTGACTGGGCGGGACACGCACACGCACACACACACACCACTCTACTGTTGGAGCTGCCGACAGGTCGGAGCGTCTGGTCTGTAATTTTGACAACTTGAGTGAAGCGGCAGCGTGTGGAGAACCCTCGATGATCGTTTCATCGGTCGAGCAGCTGGAGGTCAAAACGACTTGAAACTTCCTGCCCGTCGTCAGAAAACCGTCCCCGTCATCTGTGCACTTTGAAAACTTCAGTCCTGAAGCTGGACACGTTTAGATGAACAGGTTTCCAGTCGGACTTCATCGGTTTTCTCTTTCATTTGATTAAATCTGCGACAAACGGCCGCAGCTGCACAAATTTACAGACGAACGATGGAATTTATCCAAACCCTTCAATAATTAAACTTCATGAAGTTGTTGTTTTTAGATAAAATCATCTTGTGTTAATTAAAAAAAAAAAAAAAAGGTTCAGCTTGTTTTAAATTGGAGTTTTAGTGGTGGCGGCCATGTTGAACTGAACGCACGTCCATTAAAATCCATAATTATTGCGGTTTGAGTTATTTTGCTGACAGTTTTAATTGAACAAAACAAAGTGGATGAACTTTTGTTCACCTCGTTGTTTTTTTAAAACGATAAAATGGACAGTTGTGTATTTTAGTGTAGTTCATAAATCAACTGTTTGCTCAATTCGTTCCCTTCAGGGTTCTGTCACCGACAGGGTCCGGTCTCGGATCTTCTGTGTTCGAGTTCACATCAGCTGCAGCTGAGCTGAACGAGCTGCAGCAGCCGAACGCCTCAGCCGACGTTTCAGTCTGAGGCGCGTGTTCTGTCAGGAGGCTCGTCCCGTTCGAACATCTGGAACATCCTGCGCTGGTTCAGGAGGGGACTCCTCCAGTCCAGCTCTCACTGATTCTCACCTCCACAGGTGGAGGTGGGCGGGGCCTGAGCAGGAGATGGTTGTCATTGTTGAGCAGCGATGTCATCATGTCAGCTACCTGTGATGTTTGGGTGTAAACAGGTTAGCCGGCCTCAGTGAGGCCCCGGGCTTCAACTCTAAAGAAGCTGAAGCTCTAAAACATAAATTCAGCAACTTGTTTATGGATCGTTTGTAAAAATAACAAAAATCCTGGAGCATTTTCAGAACGTTTGTGAAGTTGCTTTCATCAACGTCTGCTGAGATCAGAGCAGCTGCTCTGCAAACCACTTTAACATTTTACTGGTTTTATTTTTAGGAAGTTCACAGCAATGGAACTTCTGTATATTTTGCACTTTTAGCTGTTCCTAC